ATCCCCCCACCACCACGATGGGCTCAGAGCTGGAGTCTCCGGCATCCTGCCAGGGCCATGGGGACAGAACTGCTCCCCTCCTCCTTGGCCAGGGCTGCCCTTACTGGGGCCTCCACCCAGCCCTGCCCCAGGGCTGACAGGCTGAGGCTGAGCTCAGCCACTGGCAGGCTGGATGACCCCTCTGAGCCTCTGGCCCTTGCTTTCCTGTCTGTATTGGGGGAGGGTCTGAACACCACCAGATGGTCTCCAAGGGCCTGTTGGGCACTCAGCTTCTAAAACCCATTAACCATCTGCTCTGTCCTTACCCCCGGGAGAAAAGCAGAGATGGGGCAGTTCAGGGGGAGGGAAGGAGAATCCCACAGTCCCCACCTGGTCTGAGGGGAAGAGCCCCTACATTCCTAGGACTAATGGCTGGGCGCCCTGAGCCTGCCACCGACCGAACAGTCACAATGAGGGTGAAAGCTACAGGAAGGCCCGTGATGTCCTGAGCTGCCCCTGCCCAGCCACCTCCACCATCCCTGACAGGGACCAAGGCACAGGGAGTCACGGCCTGCATAACTCACAATGATGATCCCAAGCTTGACTTGGGCTAAAACTCAAGGCGTAAAAGGCCACAGTGACTCCTCCCCATCATGCTCAAGGAACGTGGCCTTGGAGCGAGACTGGGGCCTCCCTGGGCTCTCCCTCACCCGCCCCCAGTGCAGGTGTGCCCGTGAAGCTGCCTCAGCTCTGGCCCCTCTGCCCCTCCTTACGGCCCGGCAAACTCCTCCTCATCTCAGCTCAGGGGGCCTCTCCTCTCAGATTCCCTTCCTGCTTGCATCAGGGTCTTGGGGACCCAGAGCCCCTGTGTATCCTCAGGTCCCAGCACTGGTCACTGCACAGCGGCTTCCCAGAGAGAGCAACGCCAGGGCAGCAGTCAGCACTCAGGGAGGTTTGGAGCACAAAGGGGACAGGAGGGGGACTCTAGGGGAAGGAACAGCACAGGGAAAGCCTGGCGGCAAGGAGGGGTGAGCAGGGCCTCAAGCAGGGCTGAGACTGCACCCGGCTCCAAGATGAAAGTTAAGCCCCACGTGGGTTCAATCTGGTGGGGGAGGGGTGTGCTGCCTACCGGATCCCTCTGGCTCTCTGGGGGTTCGGGGGGCAGCAGAGCAGCTCCCGAGCAGCTCCCTACCTGGGTTGTTTCTCCCAACTAACTACTAAACCCAAAACGACAAGACAAATCCCAAACACTGAGGCCGGAGGTGGGGTGACTGGGCTAATTCCGGGACTTCCATTTTCCAAGGCTTGAAGAGCCTGGAGAAATGCAGGACCAGCCAGTCCCAGGCCCCTCCCCTCCAGCTTCTAGCACAGACTTCTGCACTTAGCTGTTGAGGAGAGGCCACAGATTTGGAGCATTTCTGGTTGTGCGGGCCTCCTCAGATGGCTTGGATTTGGAGATCTTGGTTGCCACCCCCACACTATGGCCCTGAGCATGTCACTCCACTTCTCTGAGCCTCGGAGAAGCCCTACACACGAACGACAGGGAAGGTATGCAGATGCAGGACAGGAAGGAAGTCTGTCACTGAGGCAGCTGCCAGTGGGGCAGAGGCTGGGAGAGGAGGAGCTGGGAAAGGAGGGGCCGGGAGGGAGGCCTGGGAGGCACAGAGAGGTGGGCCAGCACCCCGCCCCTTCATCACACAGGGCATTGGAGCTGCTCAATGGCCCAGGCTGGGGCTCAGCAGGAGCCCTCAAAGAATCAATCATGCCATAATTAGGGTCATTACTAATCTCTTTCCAGGGAGGTCCCAGAGCCTCCTGTTTGCACAACACTTCTGTCCCCAGAGGCCTCCGAGAGCTCTCCCTGGGGGAGCAGGCCCGGGCTAAGGCCATCGTGGGGGCGTGGGCAGGCTCGCTGCGCCCCAGTCACGGTTCTTGAGTTCTCCTGTTCCCGCCCTTCCTGGCTGTCCTCCCGCACAGAGCGCTCCCTGCTTGTTCCTGGGCGCTGCGGCCTCTGCTACCATCTGTCCCGCATCCAGGGCTCTTGAGCTCATTCAATAAATGTTTAAGAAGCCTCCACTGTGTGCCAGGCACTGCCGGGAGCCAAGAAAGATTTACAGGGAACCAGCCATGGGCCTTCCTTCTAGGGGCACGGCCTGTTCACAGCAACAGCGCTACAGTCACAACCACGTGCGTGCCCAGTGCTTCGCTGTTTCCGGAGCCTCCCCACACGTCGCTTCACTGAAGCATCCTGCCAGCTCTGCAGGCAAGTACCAGACCCACATTTTATGGACACAAGTTTGGGAGAGTTGGGGGCTACAGGCTGGATGGAGCCAGGCTCAGGACCCTGCCCAGGGGCCTTGGGTTCTCCTGGCACTGACAGGACCCCTTTTTCTTTCCCAAGCCAGGGCTATGAGTAGTCACCAGGAGTGCCAGAGAGCAAAGCTCAGCACCTCAGACTCAAAATCTCTAGCTTCAAACTCTCTAAACCAGAGTCTTGGAATCACCTCACCTAAGACTCATACAATCATGGACCCCTGGAGCAATCCACAGAACTATCTCTGGATTTCAGGTTATTAAAATCACAAAGCGTCAGCCCCAGGAAAGACCTGCAGCCACTCAGTCCAGCCTCGCTCTCCACGCAGACATCCCTAGTGCATCTCCTAGCAGGGGTTGCCCAGCAGAGCGGCCTGCACAGGCGTGCCTGCTCCCTGGAGGGCGGAGTGGTTTCCTCCTTAAAGCAGCCCTGTAGGGAAGCCCTCCCGAGAGGAGTGGCCAGCTCCCACCCTACCCCACCCTCTGCCCTCACAAAAAAAAAAAAACAACTGGCACAGGCAGGTTCTTCCCAGAGGAAGCAGAGCGAGCAAACATCCCCAGGGCCTCAGGCTGGGCCTCAAGGGCCAAACAGGGGCCTGGAGAGAGGGAAGACTTGCACCGTCCTCCACAGCTCTGCTCCTCCCAGGAGCCCAGGATCTCCCCAGGGCAGGGAAGTCGCCCAGAGAGAGCAGGAGAAGGTGGAGGCCGTGTCTGGCAGAGACTTGCACTGAGCAAACTTGTCTCTGACTAGTTTTTGCCCCCTGAGGGAATGGAGAGCAATGATTTATTTTATTTATTTATGCAAAATAGTAGGGTTATTATACAAACAGGCTTCCCAAACCAGCCCTGGGGTGGGAAGAAAGGCAAGCCCTACCATTTAAGGAGTCTTTCTCTTGCTTCCTTCCACTCACACCTACCTGTCTTGCCTCACCACCCCCTTCCCCCCTCACACGGCGGTGTTCCCAGCACACCACACTACCCACCTTCCCACAGCTTGGCCCTTGCTCACGCTGGGCCCCTGCCAGGAAAGCCCCCCACCCACCCCAGTCCACATCCCATCCATCTTAACAAATAGACCCTGTGCAAAGCACAATCTGACACCTCCTCGCCCCACCCGCCTCGGAAGCCCACTGCCTCCTCCCTGCGTGCTCACACGTCTGGCAGAGCTCTCGAGACATGATCACAGGCCTCTGCTCACAGTAATTATCTGCTTCCGCGGCTGGCTTGCCCACAGGGCTGAAAGCTTCTCCAGACGGAGACTTCTGATCCCCTCAGCCAAGTGTTTTTGAAGAGCCACAGTGTCTGTGGCCCCGCACTGGGAGATAGGGACACGAGATACTCCAGGCCCCTTCCCTGCTAGAGAGGTCACCGTGCTGGGGACCTGTGTCCCTGCACTGTGCCAGCGCCAAGGAGGCACCCATTTATTTGCCAGTCAGAGAAGCTGGCTAAATGTGCAAAGGAAGGAAAGGAGCCGATCAGAGCCTCTTCTTAAACCACACAACTGTGAGCTATTCTGAGCCTGGTCCCGACTCTGCCTCTGAGCAGTAATGAAGCCTTTCCCTATTTACCGAAAAATGAAGTTACTGAAATAAGTCTCAATTAAACATTTTCTCCCACAATTTTTATTTTTTTAAGTTATTTAAAAAATTGATTGATTAGTGAGAAAAGAAGGGAGGGAGGGAAAGAGAGAGGAATATCAACTTGGCCACTTATCCATGCACTCACTGGTTGAATCCTGTATGTGCCCTGACTAGGTATCGAACCTGCGAACTTGCCATATCAGGAGGATGTGCTAACCAACTAAGCTACATGGCCAGGGCTCCCATAGTTTTTTCTGAAACCTCCGCTATCTGCTTGCACACTTCTGCTCCTGGTCTGGTGTAGGATGACCTCGGATTCAGCACACTGACTTTCTCGCTGTCATTTACATCTGTCTTCCTCAAGGCAGGACAGAAGCAACCCTCTACTTCCAGGCAAGTCTGAGAACCCGGGGCCCAAACTTTTCTACCTCTCTTTCCAATTTCCAGGTTTCCCTTTGGTAACCAAGAAAACAGGCCTCGCTCAGACGCTGAGGAAGAAAGTTCCAGGAGTTGGTGGCCAGCACGCTCTCCAGGTTCATGCCAATTCCATCGTTCAAGGCCTCCAACTCCATTAGCTGCTATTGATTCCTTTGGCTGAAGCATCATTCTTCAAAACACAAATCTCCGCTGAAATGAGAGCCCATGAAGCCCACCCAAATTGGAGGGCAAGGTAGCTTATTTTAGTACGAGGCTCCAGAGAAGCAGAAGACCGCGGGGGTTGGGAATGTGTGCCGAGAGCCAGCCTGCCCGGGTTTGAAACCCAGTTCTGTCACTCACTAACTGAGCAAATTCCTTCACGCCTCTCTACCTCAGTCTCCTTGTTTATAAGGTGGGGACAATAATAGTGCCAATCTCATGGGCTGCTGTGAGGATTAAATGGGCTAATACACATAAGGGGCTTAGGTAAGTACAGGTGCACTGGAGTAAGCAAGAGACAGCTCTGCTCCGTGCTTCAGGTTTTTCTTGCCGTAAAGTAGGACAATAACCCCCTTTTGCCCTGCCGTTTTCTGTAAAATGCAGGGTGCAGTCCTCGTGCGAGAGGTAGACATTTTCAAACCCAATAGGTTGCTCTGTGTAGCTTGCCTCTAACTCCTTTGTCCCTGCCTGCTTCTTTTTTTTTTTCTTTACCTGGAAGAAGGCACCAGTGGCTGTGAGCTGGGCTCCCAGAGGTGTCCTGTCAGGGACTTGGTGATGTCACTTCACCGGGAGAGCTGTTGGGACAAGAGGACAAACCCAGTCAGATCACTCAGCAGTTACCCTGCCTTCTCCCTTTCCCCCTGACCCCCAGGGAGCTCCTACCCTGCGCCCACCTCGTGCTGAGTGTGGAGCTCAGGGATGGCTCACATCTAGTCCCTGCCCTGGAGAAGTCACCGAGCTGGGGGAACCGAAGGGACACACATGATCCACTTGTGGACCCCACACACACAATCCTTCCTCCACACATGCTAACCACAGACCAGCCTCAACCCAAAACCAAGTACAACCTGCCTCCTGAACTATTCCTCCTCCCCTATCCCAGACCCCAGGACCCACAGAAACATGATCCAAGACCCAGCCACCCTAGGATGAAACCCAGGGCTTTGCCCAGCTGCTGGGGTGGGGAGCAGAGGTTCTTCTGTGCTGCTCAGGGACCTGCTTCTCTAGAGGTAGCTGCCAAAGCAGCTGTTCTAAAGCAGCCACAGAGGAAGGGCTGGTGGGCTGGAGGCGGGATCTGGGGCACCGCAATTATGTGGCTTACTTCTGACTCATGCACCACCTCCCCCATCACCAGCTCTTGCAGCCCGCTGGACAGCCCTTCTGCCCAGGAACTGCGAAGAGAGATGGGCCATGGGGAGAGGAGAAAAGGGAAGGGGGTTTCGGGTCAGACTGCAGGCTGTGGAGGATGCTGCCACACTGCCCTTTAGGGGACACAGGCTGGCAGGGCCAGGAGCCTGCCTAGGTCACCCAGAGTGTCAGAGGCAGGGCAAGGGCTGGGACCCAGGTTTCCTGGTGTTTTGCAGGCTCCAGGGAGGTGGTGGCTCAGGACTGTGCCCAGCATGAGAATTCTCTTCAATCCAGTTAGGCCCCAGAGCCACACACCGGCAAGAAATACCCAGGCAAGACTCGCCCCTGGATGGGAAGGGGGCTGAGCCGGGTTCAGAGACAGTTTGGAAATGACATCCAGCTACTGACAGATTCCTGTGGCACTCCCAGCCCTGCCTCTCTCCACCTCCGCCCCCCAGGTTTCTCACGATTCCCTGAATGTACTGTTCGGTAACTTAATGTACTGTACTCTACAGTTTACAAAACATACTTATTTCCTTCATCTCCCACAGTGACCCTAAGACCTAGGCAACAGAGGGAATATACTCAACACAGCAGGGCTTCTCAGACTTTAATGTGCAAACGAACCACCTGGAGATCTTGTTCGAATGTGTCGGGTGCAGTAGGTCAAGGCTGGGGTGTCAGACTCCACATTTTTGACAAGCTCCTGAGTGAGGCTGATGCTGCTGGTCCAGGGACCACACTTTGAGTAGCAAGACCATCGTTGTTAACAGCATGGGTGCGGGGGTCAGACTGTGTAAGTTAGAATCTTGGCTGTTACTGTGTGGCCTTAGTCTAGTTACTGATCCTCTCTGTGCCTCAGTCTCCTTATGTATATATAAAGAACTCACACGACTCCACTCCAGGAAGACAAACAACCCAATTAAAAAATGGGCAAAGGACTCGAACAGACACTTCTCCAAGGAGGACATACAGAGGGCCCAGAGACATATGAAAAGATGCTCAACATCATTAGCCATCAGCGAGATGCAAATTAAAACCACAGTGAGATACCACTTCACACCAGTCAGAATGGCCATCATAAACAAATCAACAAACAAGTGCTGGGGAGGATGAGGAGAAAAGGGAACCCTAGTGTACTGTTGGTGGGAATGCAGACTGGTGCGGTCACTGTGGAAAAGAGTATGGAATTTCCTCAGAAAACTAAAAATGGAACTGCCTTTTGACCCAGCAATTCCACTGCTAGGATTATATCCCAAGGACACTGAAACACCAATCCAAAAGAACCTATGCACCCCAATGTTCATAGCAGCACAATTTACAATAGCCAAGTGCTGGAAGCAACCTAGGTACCCATCAGTAAATGAATGGATCAAAAAACTATGGTACATTTACACAATGGAATTCTATGCAGCAGAAAGAAGGAGCTCCTACCCTTTGTGACAGCATGGATGGAACTGGAGAGCTTTATGCTAAGTGAAACAAGCCAAATGATGAAATAGAAATACCCTATGATCTCACCTATTAGTGGAACCTAATCAACAAAACAAACAAGCAAGCAAAATATAACCAGAGACACTGAAATAAAGAACAAACTGACAGTGACTAGAGAGGAGGAGGGAGAGGGATAATAGGGGTCATGGGGGGGGCATGGAGGAACATGTATGAAGGACACATGGACAAAGCCAAAGGGGGTGGGTTTGAGAGTGGGAGTCAGGGATGGGTGGGGCAGGGGGCGTGGTGGGGTGAAAATGGAGACAAATGTACTTGAACAACAATAAAAAAATCCCCTTATGTATAAAGTAATAATAATACCTACCCCATGTGATATGAGGGTAGTAAAATGACTAAAGTGATTACTATTACAAAACGTTAAATGGAGCCTCTGAGAGGTGGACACAGGCAGCACAGATGGCAAAGCCAGAATTCACACCCAGTTCTCTTACTGAAAATCCTGCGATACAGGCTGCCACAAAATGTCACAGCCAGCAAACACCCCCACCCCCTCCATTAGACAGACACGGGTACTGAAGCGTGGAGAGGGGCGGAGGACTGACAGGTCACCAAAAGCTGGTGTCAGAAATCCAAGTCCCTGACTCCTGGCCTGGTGTACTGTCACCCTTCACTGTCCTGCAAGGAAGAGAGTGTCACCAATTCGCCCTGAGGCGTCCCAGCTCTGCCGCCAGCCCCCACCTGGAAGCTGAGTGTGGAGTGCCTGGGCAGGGAGGCTGCCCCCGCGCCACGTGGGCCGAGTTCCCAGCTCTGTCAGAGTCCTGCCCACCGGGCTGCGTGAGGAGGACAGTCCAGCATCGTCCTTCCAGCTCCACGTCCTACCTCCAGTCTGTGGCACTGCTCAGCCTCAGGGTCACCCCGTTGGGGTCTCAAGCAGAGGGTGGCACAGCCTGGGTCTGCCTCCACCCCCACCTCGGCTTCCCAATGCAGGGCCAGTGGGAGCCTATGAGTCACTTGAAGGAAGTGTTCAGCCTCAAGGAGGAAGTGGCCCTTGGAGCAGAAACCCCCTGGAGGATCTCCCCAGGGCCCCGGGGCAGGGGGTCTGGGCGGCTGAGCATGATGGAGGGAAGCCGAATGGGATGTGACAACACCCATTCAGACTCTACCTGGAACTCAGACTTGGCACCCAGTCTCCGCACATGAAACCTCACCGGGGGCTTCTCTGCTGTGTGATCTCAGGCGCATCAGTACCCTTCTCTGAGCCCCAGTCCCTGCATTTGTGGGATCATGGGGCTGCACTACAGGACTATCATGGCCTGGCATTGCACAATGAAAGGGAAAACTGGAGGAAGTGAACATGGGTTTTAAATAAATGAGCAAATGCATGTATGAATGAAAAGTATGAGTGAAGGCGATGTCTAGATTTGAGCACTGGCTGCCAGGACGGGCTCAGGCCATCCTTGACCCTAAACTGGAATTAAGTGGGTTGAAAATGCATTATTTTACTTGTTTTTAGTCATCTTTCTCAAATGTATGTATGGCTTACATTTATTTCAATGTTTAATACTAGAAGTGTTTTGGGTCCCTATTGGCAAGTTTGGGTGATGTTTCTGTGGCCAGAAATATGCCATAGGAACTTAACCCTTGTTTATCTCAACTGGCCTGTGGTAAAAGTGGCTTTAATATTTCATTTCACTTAAAGTGGCGGTTTCCAAGAACCTGTGAACAGCATTGAGGTCTTACCGTTTTCCATTTCCCAGTCATGCTGAGCACCCTTGACTCACTGACTGACTGACTGACTGACTGACTGACTGATTAGTGGTTGGGGGGAGAGCTTTCCCCACCTTCATCTGCGGTTCTAAACGCGCTCATGAGCCAGTGTGGTCGCTCACAGCGAACTCCCACGGCAGCCGAGAGGCACCTTACGGCACGGCAGTCCCTCCTTAGCTGTGGTTTCACCTTCTGTGGTGTTTCAGTTCCCTGTGGTCAACCGTGGTCCACAATTATTAAATAAAAAATTCTGGAGGTAAACAATTCTTAAGTTTTAAATTGCACTCCATTCTGAGTAGTATGGTGAAATCTCACACCATCCCGCTCCATCCGGCCCTGAACATCAATCATCCCTTTGACCACGCACACTTTGTTCACACTGTGTACGCCCCCTCGCCTCAATCACCTGGTAGCCATCTAGTTATCAACCGACTAGTACAGTATCACAGTGCTCGTGTCACAGTAGCCCTTACCTTACTTACTAATGGCCTCAGTTCCAGAGCAATGATGCTGGGAATTCGGATGTGCCAAAGAGAAGCCAGAAGGGCTTCCTTTAAGTGAAAAGGTGAAAGTTCTCAACTTAATAAAAAAAGGAAAAAAAATTATGCTTTGTGCTCGTTTGCCGAGAGACAGACCACATTCACATAACTTTTAGTACAATATATTGTTATAATTGTTCTATTTCATTATTAGCTATTATTATCAATCTCTCACTGTGCTTAATTTATAAATTAAACTCCATCACAGGTATGTATGTATAAGAAAACACACAGTAAACATGGTGACCCTGGAACCTCGGTTTTGAAAAAAAATCATGTAAGTATAAGTGGACCCACACAGTTCAAATCTATGTTGTTCAAGGGCCAGCCATATCTCCATCTGCAGGAGGGAGCCTGCGTGTGCAGAAGGTAGACTCCAGTCATGCTCGGACTTGTGTTTGCACGGGGTCGGTGCCCCTGACCCTCGAGTCGCTCGCAGTTGGTTGTGTGGGGTTTGGAGCTCTCTCTGGTGTCAGGCACCCCCACTCGGGGGTCTCGGAATGTGCCCCTGTGGATAAGGGGGACGACTGTCTTTAACAACTCACATTGCTCAGGTCGGCACCGCATGAAATGTGACACAAATTCTTCCCATTGGCCACTAGATGAACCTTCAACACCGGAACTGTCCATAGTTTCATTTTATAAACCCTTCAAAACTCTGCATATCTGATCTCTATTTAAATAAT